AGTAAGAATGGCCAGACTTTGTCTCACCTATTTTGGTCATGTTGTCAGAAGGGACCATTCCCTGGAGAAGGATGTCATGCTTGATAGGGTGGAAGGTCGACGAAAGAGGGGGAGGCCTTCAACAAGATGGATTGACATGGTGGCTGCGATGATGGGCTCAAGTATAGCAGGGACTGTGGGGCTGGCACGGGATTGGGCAGTGTTTCGTTCTGCTATGCGTGGGGTCGCTATGAGTCGGAAACAACTCGACGGCACTTAACAACAACAACAACAACATTTGATAAAAATCAATACACTTATGCTCCTTGGTTTCTATGACTATATACCAATAATTATATCTGCTGAAATACTATCAGGTCTATGAAAGTAGGTAACATGACAAAATCATTATCCTTTTCTATTGGTTTTTATTTTTATATTATTTGAAGCAGCAAAATATGAAGTTGTTATTTTCAAAAGTGAAGGCACCAAGAACTCATTTTATCCAATTTGTCTAGACATTTCCACCTAAGCATGGAATACAATCAGTATAATGAAAGGAAATTTTTTTAATAAGTCTCATAAAAATATGTAATTGTCAGAGAAAGGACATGAGCTTATAAAAATTTGTCCCATAGAAAATACTTTTGTACAAACCAAATATGGAGGTTTAACATTCATCATAAAAATAGAAACAAAAATATAAAGCTTTCAAATAGGTGACTGCATCAGTATATACTTTACAATGTAAAAATATTAAACAAACAACCAAAAGTTTAACATAATAAGAAAGTTAAACTTAAAAACTTCAATTAAAAAACTTATCTAATTGAGACCCAAGTGATAACAGTAACTCTAAAGCATGTAAGAGAAGTTTAGGAGGCAGTGAATCTAAATTAATGGGGATAAAACAACTAGAGCAGAAATAATGAGAATGCTGACACAATGTGAAGATTGTAACCAATGTCACTGAACAGTATGTGAAGAAATTGTTAAATGGGAACATATTTTGATGTGTATATTTTCAGTAAAATAAGTAAACAAATAAAGTAAAACAGACATGCTATTTCGTCTTTTATGTAGGAGAAATATACTACTACTCAACCTCTCCTGTAAGGCTGGCAGCCCTGAGAACTCCTTTTTCAATGTAGCATGTTATGGATATATTCCTGCTCCTAAAGGAATGAGGAACAGATATTTCCACATGCAATCTATTTTCTTTTGAAAGACAAATTTCATAAGACCATCAGAAAAACATATTTTATTCTACTACTGATTATTTTTAATGAAATAAAGCCTTGCCTATTTTATTAGACACATATTATTATATTTGAATTCCAAGCAACTTGATCAATAAGAATAAATATTTATTTGTTCCTACTATATGGTTTAACTGTATGTTAAGAGTTGAGGGTTACAGAAGAAGGGATGGAGTAAATGAAACTGTTTGGTTGGGACAGAAAGGCCTCATGGACAACTAAGGATCAAATGAGATAATAAAATCCCAACAAATGGATGAGGTATTAAATTGAGCACTGAAGATTAATTGCAATAAAAGTTCAGGGAAAATGGTGAAAGATGAAGAGAAGAAAATGTGTATAAAGGAAGTGGAGTATTACTATAAAAACAATTCACCCTCATTAGGTTAAATGAAGTCCCCCTGGCCATGACTTACCTGTTAAGATAGAACAGGATTACTGACTGATTTCTAATATTCAAAATTGGTTAGGGGTTCCATTTATTCATTTATACATGTCCAAAGAACCCTTGGAAATAACAAGGGATGGCAATGAGGGCGGAATGATTAGATTAAAGCTGGGATGCCTGAAAAAAAACGCTAGTTGTGGCCTCAAAGGTAACACGTAGCCACAAATTAGTCACATGGTTGTTTTACCTATTGCCCGGCCTACTGTAACAGTTTTATATTACTGGAAAAGCAGAGTTTAACCTTGAAAGATCCTAGTTTTACCTTTTGTTTTCCATTAAAAACAAAGAAAGGTAAGAGAGATGATTATTCTTATGTCAAATGTTTTATTATTTCATCCTTTTATTTCCTAAAATCATGGAGGTATTTGGGTCTTATCAAGAAAAGATTAAGACAATTATTCACAGAAATTTACAAGTATACAAAGCAAAGAGAGTTTATGAAGTTTTTACATGATCTTTTTTAGTGTGTTCTTCTTTATTTTTTGGTTGAATTCAGCATGTCTTTGGTATCGTGAATAGGGAACTTAAACAACTTTAATTCATTATTGTTAAGTATCATACTAAGCTTAAACTTTTTCATAGTACAACAGAATAACAGAAAGGTATGTGGCATGTTCAAATCTTAACTTTTACTACTGTTTTAAAATTAAGTAAACTAAATTCATTTCTCCAAAGATGTTATAAATGCACACATTGCGTGCTAATGGTTTAATGCTTTCAAAATTTTACTATTAAGTTTATTCATGAAAAAATGAGGGTGAACACTGCCTTAATAATACTAAATCACACCTGCAGTCCCAGAATAAAAACTGTCAAAGTCTTTTTAATATACTTTTTTTCAATCTAACACATTCCATGCCACTTTGAGATTTATCTTTTAATTTAGTAAGACACTCCGAACATAAAGTTTTTGGATTTTTAAAAACAAAGGAAGAAAATAATGTAAAAATTATTACAAAACTAAGTTACATATAGGCATTAAATTACAGAATGAAATTTATGGTAATTTACATTCAATGTGTGTAAAAACGCATTTACATTAAGCAACATACCCTGTTTTATTTCTGTCCAGGACGCTGGGTGTCAAAGATCGGATATAAGCACAGGTACATATAAGCAGCAAGATTACAGTCAACAGACTCTGAAAATTGAAAATGGCAGACTAAAAAGAGAAAAAGAAAAATCACTATTACAAGAAAAACTGCATAGGTAAAAAATGCCAGATAATTCCACATTAAGAATCGTGCTTTTATTTCTCCCCAAAAGCAAACAGAATGACATAGCACACGACACTTAAAACTAAAATTATGAGATGTGTAAGGAGTGTACTTTCCTGTCCATTTTTCAGGCTAAAGAATGTGGGAGAGGCAACCAAATTCTAAATTCAAAAACTTAACACTAAACAAAACAAAACAAAACAAAACATGAATGTAAATTAGCTGATCAAAGCTGATTCTACAGATAATACAAAAGAAGTTCTAGGATCTTAGACACTAGAAGGATCTGAGGTCTCCAAGCCCTGCCAGTAGCTAGCTGTATCACCTTGGTGGAATCAGTTGCTCCTATCTATAAAGCTACGTGGAGAGTGGGGAGATGGACTAAACGTTGACAAACACTTAGGCTATTAGGTTTTGAAAAACATCTCATTCACTGTTGATTCTTTAAAAGTTATTCATTGTTTAATAGTTTAACCTTATTCTAAAAGTTAACATTTAACACAGGAATCATAGGAAGCCATTAAGTTTCCATAGTGAAATACAGGAAATTATAGGTTTCCAGACAAAGTAAAATAAAGTATACATACTCTATTCAAAAACCAGCTCAAGTGTCAACTTTTCCAGGAAGTCTCCTTGAACCCGTCTGCTTCCCCTCTCTTCTTTCATGTAGAACTCTCTCCTTTCATTCCCATAACAAACTATTATTCTGTTATTATTATACTCATCCGTGGAGAGTGGATATTGTTTTATCAGAGTATGAATTCCTAGCACTTGGCTATGTGTCTGCCATACAGCAGGAGCTCAGTAAGGAATGGTTGAATAAATGTTAAAAATGTAGGAGTATTGCTACATACAAAGAACAACATTTCCATTATACACAAGTAAATAAAACATATCAGTCTCACACAGCATTAAGCAATATGCTTATTTAGTAAACTTAGTAGAACTCCCTGTAAAATGAAGAATAAGACAAATAAATGTATGTAAATAGACAACTGATTCTCAAGCTCATATGGAAAAATAAATTAATAGTCAAGAAAATTCTAAAAAAAGAAAGAACTATCCTTGTCAAAAATTAAATCATAATATTCTTTTTAACCTTTTACATTTTATGTAATAGATGTAAATGCTTCAAAAAAATTATACCCGGTATTTACCAATGTTCTTAATGACACGTAATGCTTATGCACAATGCTAAGTGTTAAGAAAAACAAGATGCAAGATTTTACAGCCAGCACACCTGCAGCTGTGTACATCTATCTACACACTAAGGAAGAGCATGAATGCAGTGATTATCTCTGTATGGTTTTTACCTGATTCTCAACTTTTCTGGATCTCAAGTTTTATATGTATGTTATGTTGTTGTTATGTGACGTCGAGTCTGACGCGACCCATAGAGACCCCTCCTTGGGTTTCTGAGGCAGTATCACTGTGGAAGTAGATTGCCCATCGTCCTTCCGAGGAGTGGCTGGTGAGTTTGAACCTCCAGCCTTCTGGTTAGCAGTCAAGTGCCTTAGCCACTATGCTACCAGAGCTCCCAACAAACAAAAATGATATTAATTACAATTTTAGTATTTGTTTTTCTATGCAGATCCTTTTTCATGGATAAAGCAAGGACAAAGTTTAGTATGTCTTGGCTTTAAATTAAATTGAGATTTTAATTCTACATCTGAAAGCAAATGATATACATTTTTTTATCTTGGAATAAATTTATAAATCAGCTGTAATGATCAATTCTAGACAGAAAATAAATAAGTATACTTATCTTTCAAATGAGATGTTTAGAATATATACAAAAGTATATTAATAAATAGTATTTCATAATAACCACATGAAATACAAAGCACTGATTTCTTCCTAGCCAAAATAACTAAATGTGCATTTATATGTTTGGGGTTTTAGACACTGGGGTTTTAAAAAGGCATGCAACATGATTCTTTCCCTGCAGGAGTTCATAGCTAACAATAACAATTATTGACAGTCACTGTGCATTGTTCTGTATTGTCTTTTTTATCCTCATACATCAGAGGTAGAGGTTATCATTACCCTTACAGATGAGACAACTGAGGCACACAACAATTATAATTGAGGCAGAATAGGTCATATACTTAAAAACTTAACAGCAACTCATTGTAGCATATCCAAGTGACACCTGAGCCAAGCTGACAAAAAAATGCTGTATGCCCAGAGGGAAAAGTCAGGGAAGACGTCAAGGAGAAATCAGAAACTGAAGTCAAGTCTTGAAAGACATGGTTTTGAGATGGGCACAGAAGAAGAAGAAGAAGAAGAAGAAGAAGAAGAAAGAACAGGATCTAGAAGACACAAAAGCAGGGGGGAAATTAAAAAAAAAAAAATCAGGAATTTATAAGTTCAAGGAATAATGAACAGACCTATTGTATTAAGTATGGGATTCATATAGTAATGTGGTTGGAAAAGAGATTTGCAAGTACATTTATCAGCTTCCTAATGGAATATCTAAATTCATGATTTGGCAAAGTGCTCTTTTTCCTTCCCCAAATGTCTTTTTAAAGAAACATACCTAAATAATATGAAGTCTGGGATTGGTTTCCAAACAATCCAGTGGTAGGGAAGAGGGAATATGTGTGTGGTGGGGATGATAGGATGATAAAATGCTGGGGACTTTTTCATAACAGAAGATTCAAAAAGACACTTTAAAACACATCTGTTATTAAAGAGATGGAGTATGTATATACACATATGTGTGTGAGAAATAAAAACCACTTACAAGTATATGTATGATTTATATATATGTTTATTCCTGGTTTATAGTTTTAAAATTTAAGAAAGTGAACTTTGGTGGTGCAGTGATTTAGACAGACTCTGGTTAAAATATCAAATTCAGGCCATCAGCCTACCACCTATAGCACACCTCTTAAGGCTTAGCATCTGTTATCCAGAGATAGAAAATTTCAGTCTCAGGGTTAAAGAAGACAGATATCTCTTGTTCAGTAGAAAAATAATTAGGATTTTCATTAGGAAAATGTTATTAAGAAGAAAGGAGGAAGGTAAGGAACAAGTAAGAACATTCGATCAAAAAGAGAAAGATGTTAAAAAAAAAGGTGATAAGGGAAGTAAAATTCATTTATCATGTTTTAATTTTTTTTCAGATCCTTCAAATTACAAAATCTTTCTGAAGGTTTCCTAATTACATATATTTTAATATACTGGTAAACTGACATTTAAAAAAAGTAACACACGTAAGAAATTTAAAGAGACAGCACTCTCACAGATTTCTGGGGCTTAAGACCACGTTCTGCTTTCCAGCAACCCCAAGGACACTCGGGGCCTGCAAGACTGAAAAGGTACGACATTCTTCTTCTTACTACACCCTACACCCGCTTGGTGAACGGAGGTGTGGCCATCCCCACTCCCACTTACCTTCTGGGCCCACAGGAACTCCATCACAGTCTGTGTGCTCAGACAGAGCCTG